AAGAGACTCCACCGGCGACAGCCGTCAACAATGGGCGAGACCCTTAGCATATGAAGTGCTTGCTCCGTGCGGCTAGACCGCGCTCCGGGATGGGCAGATATGGAATGCCTGGTGTTACCTTGGGAACACCCGGCAAATGTGATATAGGTTTACCTTAAGGGACAATCTCCGAACACGGGTCCCCGAACCGTGTGCTCTTCCTACAGTCTTGTGGAGCTTGGGATTCCGAGGAATCGAGCTCTGCGCTTGGAAGGAAAAGTGAGACTGAATTCAGTGTCGGCTGCCGGTACGCAGTCAGCGCAACACTTAAACATATGGTAATCCTAGGATATCTGCTAAACTACTAGGTTTCACTATGGTCCGACTTGGGAACACTATGGGTCGGACCTTCTGGGCTCGTATCTTCGTCAATATTGCGGTTCCGGACCCGGGAGTCGGGGCCCAAAGTCCTCTCGGCTCGGGGACGCGGGGCTTCTCGGGAACCGGCGATCGGGGAACCAAAGTTGGTTCCGAGAAAATCCCCTGGGCACTATGCCACATCAAGTTAAACTCACAGAAGGGGATCAAGGTGTCAGGACTAGGTGGCGTTCCGAGTTATATCCCTTCGATTACACAGATCAAAATTACTTTGGGATGACGAGTTGTGTATGTCATGGATGTCTGGGTAACGAACATCGGAGAGGGAGTGGATGTACTCTTAGGAATGGATTTCATGTTCAGTGCTGGAGTACGTCTAGGTATTCGTGAAGGAATGGTAGGTCTCCCGGATGAAGAATCGATTTTGATGTACGGGTATACTGTACGAAGACGTATATACCGGAATATCCTAGTCTGCCCCCTTCGAGGATTGCATCTGCGACCCGGAGAACATGCAAACGTGGCCATCCGATATGGACAATGTCGCCCGCTCCAAGACGTCGTATGGGCAGGACGAGGTGATCAGTGGGTCACCCAAATTGTTTATGACGCACGATCGTGGTCTGTAGCAATAAAAGTGATCAACGTTTCGGACCGAGACTGTTGGATCGAGCCTAGGCCACCCGTTGCTCGGATTGCGGAATATGGGGATATTCCCATAGTTGGACAGTTTGTGCGCCCTGGGTTACGAAGGTATATGGAATGACAGCAGATTATTCAGGAGAACACATTGTCCGCGATGCCGAGGGTGCGTCAGGAAGCGTATGAACAGATGCTTCGGGATGCGGCTCCGCCTGCAGTTATGGTTCCCAAGTACAAATGGTTAACGAAGTTACTAGTGAGGCCAAGGGAACCTGAGCGAGCCCAGGTTACGAAGATCGTGGAAGCGTTTCAACTGCAAAAGGACACCGATGGTGTGGGATTGGCTGAGAATGCTACGCTTGAGGCATACCCCCGAGTGTGATTGGTTCACTCATGGATGTCGAAGTTTCGCCTGAACTTGTCGCACTGGATGTCAACACCCAGCATAGCGGAGGGGTTGCTAATTCAGGATCCTGCAGAGAAGTCCCAGACGAGGTGGCTCAGGGATCTGTATGCGATGCTTTCCAGGACGACCCGAGTGTAAAAGACGAGGAGTTCGAGTTACCTTCTTCGGCCGTACCCGGAACACCGCTCGCGAGACTTGATGCAGCGTATGGCAGGTGTATGCGAGTGAGCGCTGAAGAACTCGATTTGGAACCGGCGGTTTATATTCGCGAAGGGAGTGAGCTTATGTCTCAATTGAGAGATCAGTTGGTTATGCTACTGATTTGGATGATCTCTCTCCTGAATGTGATATTGAGGCCGCTTACGTTGGGGAACCAAGCGAGAGCACGGAGGACCATGAGAAGCAGCTGAAGGCCGTCCTGAAAAGGCATCGGGAGATCTTCTTAGGTGATGGGAATGCTGCCCCTCCCCCGGCGAGGGGCGTCATCTGTGATCTAGATGTAGGTGAAGCCAGGACAGTTGCACAACGACCTCGATCGGTCGGTCCGCACTTGGGAATCAAGGTGTACAAGTTATTAAAGAAGTTTCTGGAAGCTACACTGATTGAACACACGGAATCGCCATGGGCATCCCCAATTTTGATCGTGCTCAAGAAAAACGGAGTGGATATTCGAATGTGTATCGACTATCGGGTCGTGAACAGTTTCATTCAATTGTCGAACTACCCACTACCGCTGATTGATGACTTCATCACTGGTTTCGAAGGAATGTGGTTTATGAGTCTTGACGTGGCGAGTGGTTTCTGGGCAGTCCGAATGACTGAGAGGGCTAAGCTGATCTCGGCATTCACCTGTCCATTCGGGCACTTCCAATGTATACGTATGCCATTCGGGTTGAAAAACGCCCCACTAATTTACCAACAGATGATCAACAATTGCCTGTGGGGATTTGTGCGGCTACCACCCGAAGAATAAGCACTTGTGGATCAGGATGTGTTAGACTACTTGAAGTTGGACCCTCAGTCACCGAGGGATGAAATGGATGTGAAACGCAGTATGACACCGCTAGTGGAGCAAATGACGGTTTTCAGACGCAATATCCCTGCACCATCCCAAATGGGGCAAGTCTTGGGGCGCAGTTCATATATCGACGACATCGCGCATGGGGCGGCCACGTGGGATCAGCTATGCGGTGATTTAGATGCATTGCTCTATCGGTTACGGTACTGAAGTATCTCGGTTAGCCTGTCCAAGAGCGAGTTCGGGAAACGTGTCATACCGTACCTCTCTCACGAGATTGGTGTCGAAGGGCTACGTGCCACCCCGGAAATCGTAAAATGTATTCAGGAGTTCCAATTCCGTCTTCCCTGAAAGAAGTCCAGTCCTTTCTAGGCAGCCTGAATTACTACCACAAATTCATTGAGGATTATGCCGTGGTAGCTGCTTCACTCTATGAGTTGATAGATGACCAAGTGCGCGCAGGATGAGACTTGTCTCGAGCGAAGGAATCCTTTGAGATCCTGAAGAGGAAGATCGTGTATACACCTCTACTCAGACATCCGGACCGAACGAAGCCTTTCGTGGTCATCCCTCATGCGAATCAGTGGGCTGCTTGTGCGGTTTTAGGACAGATGCATGACGGACTCGTTCAGCCCGTTTGATTCACGGGGCGCGTCCTGAATGACGCCGAGCTCAAGTATCATATTGCTGAGAAGGAAGTCCTTGGTGTGATGCGAGTTCTCTATGTGTTCAAGAATCTGATCGAAGGCTGTCCGTTGATAATCTACACCTGACATTCAGTGTTGAAATGGGTCATTAATTCCAAAACTGCCGAAGGCCGTCTGGTGCCATGGGGCGTTG